ATCACTAAGGTTGTCCACGATGTAAATTTAGAGACGCTTGTTTTGTCCGTCGCTAATATGCATCATGAATCGTCACTAGTGTTTTTTTTTCTGTCATAGTGAATGCCTCGTGTAGTGAGCTGCAGTTCAGTGTTCATGTAGTAGGTAGGCTTAGATAAAATTGTGACATTCAGTTATGACATAAACCTGATTGTTGTTATGTTGTGCTGGGGCTAGTAGTTGAATGCGTTGTTTTGTAACTGTAACACATATTATTTGGGTTGTAGAGCTGAACTTGGTCGTCATGTTGCAATGGATACATATCTTGATTGTTTACCTACCCTAATTTCAAATAGATCCTTTTGTTCACTGCTGCAGACCAATTTTTTCCTATGAATGAGAGCACTTGCGTTGACTCGCAAACCTCCATCACGAGAGCCTTACCTTTCTTCGCATTCGTGATATACCGAGAGGAAAGCCTGGCACACCGTCCCAAATCCGTCAGGGAGGCTAGCCCATGTCAAATGAAAATATCGGCACAAACTTACGAAAACAGCACGCGCGCAAGAGGCAAAAATCCTCTTCTTTTGTCTCAGCATGCCCACATTGGCTCTTATCCACAAATTTTGCTCATCCTCTTACTCCCTGACGGCATCGCTCTGACGGGAACCGACGGGAAAAACCATTCTTGACGGCATTGAGTACTTTCTTGAGTAATTATATTCCTTTACATGAGGTTTGCATTTGCCTTCTCCCCTACACATTGACTGATTTTTTCTTGACGACATATTTTTATATAAAATAAATATTAATATTTTTAATATAAACTAGCTGCATCCTGCCACGCGATCCGATTTTGACGGGTGTGTGTAAGGAGTCCTTTCTTTTTTCTAGAAATGACTTCGTGATGCATGCAAGATGCGGATGCAGATGAAGCAGCGGCAGCGGCAGCAGCATGAATGGACTCGATCGGCAAATGGATCCCCAACTACCACTCGAGATCAGTGTTCCATGTGCTCGTCGTCGCACCAACCCCAACCCCAACCCCAGAGGCTGCGAGCCTGCAAGCTCCTTACTACTATATTATGCCCACGAATCACCCAGCAAAGAGAAGCAGCTCACACTTGACACTCCACAGTCGTCGCCCACACCCCAAGGGGCTCGGGCAACAATGGCCTCCGCCACCCCACTGCTCCCCTCCCAGCTCCTCGGCGGCAGCGTGCCGCAGCAGTGGCAGATGGGCCTCCTGGCCCTCCTCCCTGTGCTGCTGGTGTCCTACCTCCTCACCATCAGGAGCAGGAACAGGAGCAGGAGCGGCAAGGACCAGGCGCCGCGGCTGCCGCCAGGCCCCGCGCAGCTGCCGATCCTGGGCAACCTGCACCTGCTGGGCCCACTGCCGCACAAGAACCTCCGCGAGCTGGCTCGGCGGTACGGCCCCGTCATGCAGCTCCGGCTGGGCACGGTGCCGACGGTGGTGGTGTCCAGCGCGGAGGCGGCCCGTGAGGTGCTCAAGGTGCACGACGTCGACTGCTGCAGCCGCCCCGCGTCGCCGGGGCCCAAGCGCCTCTCCTACGACCTCAAGAACGTCGGCTTCGCGCCCTATGGCGAGTACTGGCGCGAGATGCGCAAGCTCTTCGCGCTCGAGCTCCTCAGCATGCGCCGCGTCAAGGCCACCTGCTACGCGCGCGAGCAGGAGATGGACAGGCTCGTCGCCGACCTCGACCGCGCCGCCGCGTCCAAGGCCCCCATCGTCCTCAACGACCACGTCTTCGCCCTCACCGACGGCATCATCGGCACCGTCGCGTTCGGGAACATCTACGCCTCCAAGCAGTTCGCGCACAAGGAGCGCTTCCAGCACGTGCTGGACGACGCCATGGACATGATGGCCAGCTTCTCCGCCGAGGACTTCTTCCCCAACGCCGCCGGCCGCCTCGCCGACCGCCTCACGGGCTTCCTCGCCCGCCGCGAGCGCATCTTCAACGAGCTCGACGTCTTCTTCGAGAAGGTCATCGACCAGCACATGGACCCGGCGCGCCCCGTGCCCGAAAACGGCGGCGACCTCGTCGACGTCCTCATCAACCTGTGCAAGGAGCACGACGGCACGCTCCGCTTCACCAGGGACCACATCAAGGCCATCGTCCTCGACACCTTCATCGGCGCCATCGACACCAGCTCGGTCACCATCCTGTGGGCCATGTCGGAGCTGATGCACAAGCCGCAGGTACTGAGGAAGGCGCAGGCCGAGGTGCGGGCCGCCGTGGGCAACAACAAGCCGCGCGTCGACTCCGAAGACGCCGCCAAGATCCCGTACCTGAAGATGGTGGTCAAGGAGACGCTGCGGCTGCACCCGCCAGCGACGCTGCTGGTGCCCCGGGAGACGATGCGGGACACCACCATCTGCGGCTACGACGTGCCGGCCAACACGCGCGTGTTCGTCAACGCGTGGGCCATCGGCAGGGACCCGGCGAGCTGGCCGGCGCCCGAGGAGTTCAACCCGGACCGCTTCGTCGGGAGCGACGTCGACTACTACGGCTCGCACTTCGAGCTGATACCGTTCGGGGCTGGCCGCCGGATCTGCCCGGGCCTCGCCATGGGCGAGACCAACGTCACCTTCACCCTGGCCAACCTGCTCTACTGCTTCGACTGGGCGCTGCCGGCGGGGATGAAGCCGGAGGACGTCAGCATGGAGGAGACCGGCGCGCTCACGTTCCACCGGAAGACGCCGCTGGTGGTGGTGCCCACCAAATACCAGCGCCGCGCAGCGTAGTAGTGATCAGAGCAATCATCGACGACGACAACGACTGAATAAAGCGTGCCGAAGTTTAGTACCACCAGCCAACAGTCAGAGTTGGAGCTATCAGCTATCCTGTCCTATTTTGTTTTTTTATTTGAGAAATATTTATTATGTCTTTTGCACGACATAAATAAATAAAATAAATAAAGCAAATCAAAGTCGCGAGTTATATTATCCCTGTCCGAATCCATCGGTACAATGGTCTCATGGCTCATAGTTAGCTAATATTAGCTAGCGAACTATTCACTCTGGATGATGTTTGAATCTACTAGTTAAAAGGTGGATGCATTGATGATTTTGTTTATAATATCTTTCCTTTTCTATTTGTTGTTGTAAGAGCACGTGGATATATGAAGGTGGACGGCAAATGTAATTGGTACCTGAAATCAATTGTACGAGCGCTAAGGCTCACTTTACACGTTGAATGAATAACACCTGCTAATTAACTCTCTTACGCTTTCGTCCTTGCTTCGCGCGAAAGGATCGATTCGGAGTTAACAGCCTCCCAGGTCCAGGCTTCCTTTCGCGCGAAGCGAGGACGAAAGCGTAAGAGAGTTAATTAGCAGGTGTGGTTCATTCAACGTATAGAGCATAGACCTGATATAGCAGCTACTCCTTACAAGGTATCCAAACAATTTTGGAACCAAATAAGGAGTCTGGTAAAAGGTTAACTTAGCCCTCATCACTAATTAGTTAGTTCAGTTTTCAACTTGCTTAATTTCCTTAAAAACACATAATTTAAAAAGGAAAAAGTCCAAATTACTCCCCTCAAGTTTGACATATGTCCAGATTACCCTCTAAATTTACATTTGGTTCAATTTACTCTCTCCAACTATTTCAGTTGGTCTAGTTTACCTATAACATGATTTGTTATTTTGTTTTCTACATATTAGTTGAGTCTTAATATCAACTTTTGTGACATGATAAAAGAACATCATAAGTTATGTTAGAAAAAATATATTAACTTTTGCCACAATTTTGATAGCTTAGAAAATTTAATAATAAATTTTTCTAAGATACAATATCGCATAAAACATGGAGGAAGTAAATGGACTTTTCCATTTAAAAAGCATGTATACATGTCATTGATGTTCTCTATCGTCACAAAAGTTGATATTAAGACCAACTCTACATTGAAAAACCAAAATAACAAATCGATGTTAGCGCGAAGTGAGGGGTAAACTAGTACCAATTCAGCGTGAAATAGTTGGCCGTCTTCTCGGAGAGTAAATTGAACCAAATGTAAATTTAGAGGGTAATCTAGTGACATATGTCAAACTTGAGGGGAGTAATTTGACTGTTTTTCCAAAAGTTGATATTTTTTAAATTATGTGTTTTAAGGAAATTAACAAGTTGAAAACTGAACTAACTAATTAGTGATGAGGGCTGTTAACTAACCTTTTACCAGACTCTTTACCAGACTTATTTGGTTCCAAAATTGTTTGGATACCTTGTAAGGAGTAGCTGCTATATATGGCACTGATCTTTCTGAAAAAAATTGTTTCTGAAAATGCATCTATAAATATATATCTGCAGATTGTTTGCTGAGATTTGATACTCTTGCTGACATTGGAAATGCATCTATTGCTGGTTCAGTTATAATGAAATGGCCACCTGTCAACTAAATTTTTTATAGTTGTTACTGTTAGGCCTTATGTTAACTGAAATTGGCCATCTATTAAATAGCAATTTGAAAACTGACATTTTTCCTTCAGAACTGACAGAGTCACACCAATTCAGAACTCATTACAGGAGCATACATTTTTCCAGAGTTAAAACAACTGACAGAAAGCTACCAACTGACAGATCATTTTTCATTTGAAAACCGACAAAAAGCAACCAACAGAATTGCAGCAAGGGCAGTTGAATTGGACAAGGTACACTTCCATGTTAAGATGTCTCAAAGGATTGTTATAAACAAGCAATAGTTGTAATATATCCAAGTTTCAGTGTTTAAGCTCGATAGAGACAATGTAACATGGAAGAGCTGTTAATTCATACAATTCTACAATGCAGCAGCATACTTATAAACAAAAACCAAGAGATCGATGACCTACATATTTAACTAAATCCTCTAAAAAATCAGACAGAACTTTCACTGACGATCCAGACTCGCGAATACTAAAACTGATCAGTAGGAGCCGAGAACGTAGGAGCCAGGCGCTAGGATCGGAGTTGCGACAAAACGATCCACGACGAGTCCTCATTTACCGCCATGTCCTCGTCTCTACATGAAGGAGTGCATGCGCGGCCGGACAATGGACTGAGCACCGTCCACGAATATCGTTGTGCCCGTCATGTACCGGGACTCGTCCTTCTCCAGATCCAGCCATCTCCGTAGGGGCATCACCTCCGCTGTTGCCTTCTCAGCCTTCTCCTTACCCACGGAGATGGGGAACTTGTCCTGCAAATGCAGGCCGTGACAGGCTGCGTTAACCCTAATCTTGTGCTTGCCAAGCTCCATTGCAGACAGCTGAAACAGGGGCAAGATTCAGATTGACAAGAATTGGTTGTAGCAATCAAAAGATGAAACGGGACTGAACAATACAGAGGTTAACCCTGAGAAAGACAGAGACAGTGATCCTCTATACTTTTTTTTTTTGAAAAATTGACAGGAGCTCTGCCTTTCAATGAAGAGGGTAAAAAGAGTTAATCATATACAAGCAAAATCAGGGTTAACTCGCCCTGGGGAGCAGGAAAAGGATAGGCTCTCTCCAAACGCTAAACCCCCTCTAGCCAAATGCTCTCCTTTGCTCAATGTCGTCTTTGATCCTTCCTGCTACTTGCATCACTGATTCAGAGTTGTTGTTGAATATGCGCCTGTTTCTCTCTTTCCAGAGGTTCCAAAAGGTGTATATGACCATGCCGTTGAAACGTCTCCGCTCTGTTAGGGGCACTACGGTAACAGCCTCCTCCCACCAGGACATGATCTGCAAGGGGTCCCCCTGCTGCGGTCCTAGAGTAGTATCGAAGTGTTCCCATGCAAGAATTTGTCTCAGTGATCCTCTATACTCAGTGGCTGTCTATGAAAGCTTTTCCTGAGCTGAACAATCAGGGGTACCATTCCATCATCCTTTCCACCTTGGCATATATGAACTGAGTGGTGTTTTCAGAAATTCAGAAACCTAATGGATGCAGATTGTTGAAAAGGCCCAAATGGTATGTGGGCTGTGGAATTCAGCAGCAGCTCCTTGAATCGATTGGTTGTATAAAGAGCCTGGGTTGTTTCAGCCTTTCAGGGTTTTGGTATTATTACTTTCTTTTGCTCCGCTGCTACTGTCTGAACATTCAAGGTTGTACATCTGAGGTGGTGGTGGTGTCTGAATTTCTTTAGCCAATTGTTACCATGTTAGTGTGGTCCAGTTATTCGTTTATTATGTCATATATGTACTTCGGTTGGTACTTTGGTCAGTTGCTCTAAACTGAACACAAGGAAAAAAATAAATTATCCTGCATGTCCCTGAAACAATCACCATTGAAGATGCTATTTTTCGTGTGCATGTGTGGCATCACGGAGTATTGAGAAATTAGTAATGTCTGATTTGGCAAATTGAATACCCACTGCCTCCTGTTTTTATGTGCAATTTAAAGGTGCAAAAACTCATAGAAACTCATAGACATATGAGAGTTGACTTGTCCAAACTTTGTTGATCATTTCAGTGTGGAATTTTTAGCATTGCAACATGATCAGTTTCAGGATTTTATTTGGACAGAACAGCAGCTGTCAGCATAATAAGCATATAGAAAGGGCACACGTCTAAGTAGTAGACAAGGATACTTACTCGGACCAATTGGTGAATAGCTCCTAAGCTTGTACCATATGCTGCAGCACCTGGATATAACCGTCTCTCGGCACCAATAATCTGTGTCAAGAACACAATAGATCCACCAGATTTTGTATCCTGGAACCGCTTTGCGATCGCCTTCATTAGAAACCAAGGTGTTATCACATTTACTTTGATTGTCTTCCTGTACTCATCTTCACTTATACTGAGACAATCTTGCACCTCCCTGGTCACACAGACACAGTAATGGAACATTTTAAAAAAAGAATTGGCTGAAGCAGGACGTAAATGTGCACAAAACTGGCATTTCGTTCTGGTGTTTTCAGTGTTAAGACTACATTCAGACTAGCGATACCATAGAGCCTCTGCTTTGTTTAGGATGCAACATCTCACATGCTGGACCCATGACAGTTAAAACAAAAGGCACCATATCTGTAATATGGCACAAGTTATGTAACGGATCAATTTAATTGTCAGGGTAGTTCAGTTCAGAGATATGTCTGAACCATGATATAAGTGCAAATTCAGTTCACTGGACCCTGTATTTTCCCCACTCCCACAGTTCCTACAGTTATCTTTTTTTTTTTAATTTTGCTAAAGGGGCGCGCTTGGTTAAAGACCGTAGTAAAATTGAAAGCTTTATTAGCAATTAAATCCTCAGCCCACGAGCATCCCCGTTCACGATTTTTACTGTGGCATAAGCAATGAGCTCAAGGATAAAGAAGCAAAGGCAAACCAATGGTCAATACGGCGTCAGGCGAGCACGTCTGTATGCGAATCATTCATACCCTCGTAGGAGTAGCAGTTGACGAAGGCATCCAGTCCGGCGAAGCAGCGCCAGGCCCGATCCACCGCCGCGTCGGCCGCCGCCTCACCGCACGCTTCCAAGTCCAGCCCCACCAATTCGACGCCTCCGCCTCCGCTGCCCCCGCAGCGCCGCGCCTCCTCCGCCGTCGCGGCCAGCGCGCCCTCGTCGCCCAATAAGACCAATCTTCAACCGGAATCAGAACCGAGCCGCATGCGACGCCAAGCGCGGGGACGGGGAGTGGTGGCAGCTACCTGCAGCCGTGCTTGGCGAGAGTAGAGGCGATCCCCCGGGACATGGCGTCGCCGGCGGCGGTGAGCAGCACACGCTTCGCGTAGGCGTCCCCCATCCTCTGGACCACCCGATTCCCGCGGCGGAGGCGGATTTTTTTTTTTCTTTCCTCTCTCTCTCGCGAGCACGACAGCAAAGCAGGCAGGCAGGGGCGCAGGGCAGCACGCTGAATTCTTCCGGGAGTTGGACCGCACACAGATGCGGCGAAACGAGTGAGTTGGGCCACCGCGCTGAGCTGGGAAGGTTGTTCTGGGCCTGCGTCCCGTGGGCCGGCCTTCCTTCTATCTTCTCGACGGAACAAATGGAAATGACCAAGTTTTAAACATTCTCCCGAATTTGTCTAATATAAATAGAAGCGCAGGGCTGGTTTTCATCATTTAAAAAAACAACCACACAAGTTCTGAACAACAGAGTATATCAAATCAGCAATTGAATCGGATATATAACTTTTTTTCTTTTTCTTCGTGGAGCAGATATTCTACAAAAGACAGTGCAGAACCAGTGAAGAGCTCAAATAGGAAACAAACATGGTGGTCCCTATTTTAGATCTTACAACGGTAATTTTCTTCCAAAAGCATGGTAAAAGCAAGAGGACAAATGAGAGCCTATTTTTTTAGTGGAATCTGATCTTAAAACACGGTTTAACGCTCAACCAGCTAACAACTCCACATCACTCTCGGCTTCGGTAGTCATGTATGCAACGCTAAGCCTACTCAGTCGAATACGACCTAACAAGCAACTCGGTTGAAACATATTGCTTCATAGGTTTTAGCATGGAAAAGTTGATGATGACCACAACTTCACTGTGCAACCACTAAAAATCAGCCTAACAACTCACTCTAGACCACATCACAAAAAGCACAATTGACCCAACTATAGAAATGGATGGTTCAATAGAGAGAAATTGACAAAACATGCAACTAATAAAGACACACCAGGAAAATTGAAAGAAAAAAGTAACCAAGCTTGCTACTGGGATGCTAGGATGCTGGAGGAAAACCAAAGCCTCTGGTCATCGTTCTTGAAATCGCCAAACACAATGACACAGATTCTTTGATTTCTGAAGGGCCTACTCAACAAAAACACGACAAAGACGTCCACCATGAAGGACCCCAACAAGAGACTACCAAATCACAGTGGTGGTTCTCCGTGACGATGCCTCTGAATAGGTAAAAAGAACTATGTCATGTTTTTTTTAGGTTAGCGCCCCTACTCTTTAACTGCACGATCGATGCAATATAGTCTCCAAAGGTTTAAATTCAATATTAGCACCGAAAATCAGGTAAAAGGGTGAGTTATGTGTGTACTGTGTATGCTTGTGGCCACGCATGTGGTGTTTACATCCGCACCATTTGCTTCTTTTTCCACAAAAAAAAAGAAAAGAAATACTGAGAAATGTTTTCACACATGCTAATTTGAAACCCGAAACTTGAGGAGTGGTTCTGGCGAATTGAATACACTGCAAAATGCAGGTACGAATGGTTAAGGTTGCCTCTGGAATTGAAACTGCTCGTTTGGTGCGACTGGTGGAGAGGAATAGGAACCTTCTGTTGAGAAAAGTCTTTGCTTTTTGTGTTGTTGCATATGGCCACTTGGCTTGTTTTCCTGTTCTGATCAACATGTCGGCCACTTAATAGAATAGTCTATTCTTGTTTGGTATAAGCCCTCCTTTTTTAATTTTATTTTTACTTTTAAAATGGACGGGAGAGCTTCTTCCACGCACGCTACTGTGCCTAAGAAAGGATGCATGTCTACGTACTGGCTCCCCGGTCACATAATCATGTTGTTTAGGATAATTCTTTTTTATCAAACCTTAAAAACTACCAACTTCAATAAGTATGACATTATTCAATTAAAAACATGTAAGTTATACGCGTTTAACTATATTAAGACTACTTGCATAGTCTCTGACTTTCGAATAATTTGTGTGTTCCAGAAGAATATTTAGTGATTAAAGATACATATACAACAAAGACCGTGCAAACACAAAATGTGAGTACCATTTACCGGGTAGTATCAAAGAGACTTTCGAGTGGCAAATAATGTAAAAAACAATAAGGTCCTTTTAGATCCTTGGAATTGAATTTATTTTAATAATTAAAATTTAGACACAGATTAATTAATCTATGATTGTATATGAAATCTTGCGCAATGGCATTACATGCATAACAATCTGAAAAAACTCATGCGTCGATGGAAGACTTTCCTGCCAACTAATGGTTGCATGCCTTTAGGTGGCGTCAGGGGTTGAAAAAATATGAGCTACGAGTAGAGTATATATTAGGGGTGTTTTGACCGGCGCCGCCTGTTGAACTGCAGTGTGGTTGCTTGTGTCGTTTGGAAAAAAAGGCAACTTGAACTCCATAGCCCGGTTGAATTGTTGCACAGGATTGTTTTTTTATATAGAAAATGACGAACATACACTTGCTGCTGCGCGCCGCCAGCGCCTGAACAAGTCCGGCTACCTTGGGCCATGTTTAGTTTGCTCATTTTACAGATTTTGGCACTATACAAAAAGAATATTCTCCGTCACATCAAACTTGCGGTACATGCATGGAGTACTAAATATTGACGAAATCAAAAACTAATTGCACAGTTTGGTTGTACTTTGCGAGACGAACGTTTTGAGTCTAATTAGTCAACGATAGGACAATTATTACCAAATAAAAATAAAGCACCACAGTGCGCAACAGTGTCGCTACAGTGCCTGGGATTCCGGCGGCGCCGAATCCGGGGCCGAACTAAACGCGGCCTTGGTGTGTTGAACACGAAGGCGTGTGTTTGGCTTGCTGATTCTGTCAGGAATCCTCCGTCAAGATTCTACAAGAAGATACTAAAAAAAAAAACTAGTACTGCCTCCCTCCAAAAAAATTGCACCTGGTTGGGTCAAAACTCAAATTATACTATAAAAATCATATTTTTCATATTACAAATCTGATAATACTTACTAGATATATACTTGCCCGTGCGTTGCACGAAGTTACTGGTACTTAGCAGAGCCCTATTTATAGCCCCCATGGCGAATGGGGATGCCCAAGCCTCAGCCCTCAGCTCAGCTCGCACCGTTAAGCAACAGCTAGCTAGCAATGGCGGTGCAGGTCATCGTAGAAGGCAGCAGCAGCTCGCCTCAGCAATGGCAGCTCACGGTCGTCATGGCGGTTCTCGTCCCTCTGCTCTTGCTCCTCCTTGCAAGAAAAATAAGAGCAGGAAAGAGCTGGAGCAGCAAGAAAGGGCGGCGCGTCCTCCTCCACCTGCCGCCGGGCCCGCCGAGGCTGCCGATCCTGGGCAACCTGCACCAGCTGGGCGCGCTGCCGCACCAGCGCCTGCGGGAGCTGGCGCGCAGCCACGGACCCGTCATGCTGCTGCGCCTGGGCAGCGTGCCCACGCTGGTGGTGACGTCGGCGGACGCCGCGCGGGAGGTGATGAAGGCGCGCGACGCCGACTGCTGCAGCCGCCCCGACACGCCGGGGGCCCGGCGCCTGTCGTACGACCACAAGGACGTCGCCTTCAGTCCCTACGGCGACTACTGGCGCGAGATGCGCAAGCTCTTCGTCGTCGAGTTCCTCAGCGCGCGCCGCGTCCGGGCCGCCGATTACGCCAGGGAGGCCGAGGTAGGAGATGATGAAGACTGCATCGTCCATGCATTGCCGTCGTGATCATAGGCACTCACTATATAAAATGGCGGACAGGTGGACAAGCTGATCGGCAGGTTGAGCAGCGCCGGCGGCAAGGCGGTGCAGCTGGAGGACCACATCTTCGCGCTCATGGACGGCGTCATCGGCACGGTGGCGTTCGGGAACATCTACGGCACGGAGCAGTTTGCGCACAAGAAGCACTTCCACGACGTGCTGGACGAGGCCGTGAGCGCCAAGGCCGGCTTCTCCGCCGAGGACTACTACCCCAACGCCGCCGGCCGCCTCGTGGACCGCCTCACCGGCGCCGCCGCGCGACGCGAGAGGGTGTTCAGGGACCTCGACGCCTTCTTCGACACCATCATCGACCAGCACCTGGTGGACCCGTCCTCCCGCGCCACGACGCCCGGCGGCCACGGCCCCGACCTCATCGACGTCTTCGTCGACCTCATGGAGGAGCGCCGCCAACGGCGACAGGTCGACGGCTCTCTCCGCTTCACTAGGGACCACATCAAAGGGCTGCTCTCGGTACGCCACGCGTCGTGTTCGTTCACACTCACACTACTCAGCGACAGATCATCCATTGATGCATGCATGTTACACTGTATTATTATATTAATTGCAGAACGTGTTCACCGCTAGCGTGGACACGAGCTCGGTGACCATGGTGTGGGCGATGGCGGAGCTGATCCGGAGGCCGGCGATGCTGAGGAAGGCGCAGGAGGAGGTCCGGTCCGTGGTGGATGGCGGCGGCAGGGAGAGGGTGCACCCCGACGACGTGGCGAAGCTCAGGTACCTGAAGGCGGTGGTGAAGGAGACGCTGCGGCTGCACCCGGCGGCGCCGCTGCTGCTGCCGAGGGAGACGCTGCGGCAAGTGAGCATCTGCGGGTACGACGTGCCGGCCAAGACGCGGGTACTGGTCAACGCGTGGGCCATCGGCAGGGATCCCCGCAGCTGGGGGGACAGGCCCGAGGAGTTCGACCCGGGCAGGTTCGACGGGGACGACGGCGTCGTCGACTTCAACGGCACGCACTTCGAGCTCGTCCCCTTCGGCGCCGGCCGCCGGATGTGCCCCGGCATGGCCATGGGCGTGGCCACCGTGGAGTTCACGCTGGCCAACCTGCTCTACTGCTTCGACTGGGAGCTCCCGGAGGGGGTGCGGGTGGAGGACGTGAGCATGGAAGAGGCCGGAGGGCTCGCCGTCCACAAAAAAACGCCGCTCCTGCTTGTCCCGACAAGATACAAGTGTTGATCATCAGACTGTCAGTAGTCGTCAGTGCTTAGCTACTGCATGATGACCATTTTATTAGCAAGCCTTGCATTTTTTATTACAGCAGAAAAACGCTAGATAGCTCTTAACGTTTATTCGAGAATATTATACATATTACTAATATAAGTTTACAAGGAGCGTATGTAGCGTTCATGA